TTCCAATTCAGAGAAAACGGAACTTGGTTTTGTGCCTGTGCAATAGAGCCACCAGAATCTGCTCCTCAGATACGATCGATGGCGAGCTTACTTTCCTAAAAAAAGTTTTTCTTGCAAACGGGTATCCGGAGAAATTCATCGATAAATATCGGCATCCCAGACAAGAAACTCCTGAAGAAATATCTGTACCTAAAAAGTCCGTGACCATCTACCTCCCCTTCAAGGGTGATAATGTGTCAAACGTGATCAAGCGACGACTTAGGTGCACTATCGAAAGGACGTATGCCGCCTCTAAATTGTTGTTCATAAGTAACTCGCATTTGTCTTCTCAAGCAGTTTGCACTAACACCAAACACGCTATACTGCCTCAAATAAATTAGACTGAAATTCCATTGCAACTGATGACCCTTTTTCTGTTTTTGCTAATAATCACTGGAGAACCGGCTTCAATACCTCTCCGTACTTATTTTTATTAATCATAATTATTACGATATATGGCACAACATAGCGCTTTCGTTTCGTAGGCGTAGAACTAGGTTGGATATCGCATCAAGATTTCCTTCGTCTGTTTTTAATACAATGCTAGTATTGTGGGAATTTCAAAGTTAGGAGGTGGTATCACCTCAGCTAGCAGATTAATGAGGAAAAATACTTCTAGAAGGAATAAAGAGAGAACTTTTAGAGGTAGTGAACATAATAGAGATGGGGTGCTTAAACATGAGCAACGGAAATTGATGGTTTTCTTTACCATGCGAAATGCTTAAAACGAGGAATATTGTAACAACATATTAGCCTTGATTACCTTTGTATCACAGAAACTCAACATATGTTCATCTGCGTCGTCTGCAGTGCTAATGAGTGAGATGTTTTAAAAATAAGATGACTCCCTACAAACAGAACAGGTAGTAGCCAAAGGTCCAGACGCTCGCGTTTCGCCGATATTCTGCCTCTGCATGACACAGCTGCAAAGGGTTCAACTCGTCACTGGGTTCCTCAGCATTCCTTGTCTGCTTACCGATACATACTCTGATTTACAAATTGTTGCTTTTTAATTTCCTGAGAAATAAACTACGAATGTGGAGTATATCAGTGCTGCGAAACACGCTTTTGGCTACTACCTGTGCTGTTAGTATGGAATCACCTTACCTTAATGTATACTACTAGCTGCCTGTTGACAGGTACTGAAAATTACGCGATGAACCGCTGTGGCTGATGCACTTTTGCCCAAATATTCATACAGAAGAACTTCGGTCTGAGCCTATAGACGTTGGATAAACTGATTCCCTCCAAGTTCGCAGTTACGTTCTATGAAAATTTAAAAGCAGGAGTAAGATGTTTTTGGCGAGAGAGTTAATGTCTCTCTCCTAGACATTTCAGAGTCAGTTTTTTAAAAAAGGAAATATTAAAGTATTCTTAAACGACAAAAACGCCAATAGTCACGACTCAGCTGCAAGTCATTGAGAAAGTACTGAGCGATTTCTGCAAACCTACAATGAATTCGACTGGTATCTAAAACATTGTGGGATTATCCTGGAAGATAATCAGTGTTACAACCGCACTAATGTAACCCTTAACAACCGAAAACACATCCCGGAATTTCAGATAACATTTCATGAAACCAGTCACTGACTGTACATGTTCAGGAACATTTTCCATTATTATACTCGAGCAAGACTGTCAGAAATAACTTTACCTATCTATTAACCGGAAAATAAAAATAACCCTAAATGGGGTTGCGATACAGGATCGCATTCAGCTCGGCAGAATTAACGTGCCGCAGCAACTGTCAGTGAGCTTTATGACTAAGCCAGTGATAATACCCAATCGCCACAATCCCAGGACCAGATCGCCAAGAGGATGTGCAACAGTATCGAACGCCTTGAGCGCAAGACTCACCAATGGTGGACGACAGTTAATCAGAGCCAGCAGTATACACATGATAGATATCACAATAAGTAATGTGTATGATATGGTATGATATCCTGAAAACTTGTTTATGGACGTCAACACACAAGATACCATAAAAATAAAATGTGTGTCATCAATATAAGATACCCGCACAAGGCTCTAGGAGTGCAAATAATGTCGTTAGACAGGTCAAATATTTGATCAAAGTATGTTTGCTTTCTAAGTATACTATTGGTCTCTAAAATGAAGCATTTGACTTAAACGCGCCTTCTCTTTTGGGGGTGGACTTCCATAAGGCAACTGTTTTCATTTATAGGCCGCTCCGTGGGTTTGGTTTTGTAAAATGTGTCTGGGTTACAGTGATGCATAATTATTTTGTTTAAAAGGCTCAGTATTCCGAGCCCAGATATAATTTACAAAACTAGCCCGACTTTGCCCTCTCAAGCGGTTTGCATTTGTATCTGACACGCTATACTAGCTCAAACAAATTAGTCTGGAATTCCATTGGAACTAATGGTCGTTCCTTCGTTTTTACTAATAATTACTAAAGATCCGGTTACCATAACTCTCTGTACTTATTTTTATCAGTCATCATTATTGCCAAATATGGTACAGCGCAGCGCACTCATTTCGTATGCATAGAATTCGGTTGGATATCGCATCGATAGTTCCTTCGTCGGTTCTTAACGCAGTATTAGTACTGTGAGAAATGCAAGGTTAGAAGGTTAATCCAGAAAAAGTGCTTCTAAAGAACGTTTCGAGGTAGTGAACATATGAGAGATAGAATGCTTAAACATGATCAACAGAAGTCAGTGGTTATCTTAACCATGCGAAAGTTTCAAAATGAGGAAGACTGTAACAACATATTGGCCTTGATCAGCTTTATCCCACATAACTTCTATATGTGTTCATCTACACTCTCTACATTGCAAAGCAGTAGTATATATTTGGTGGGTGAGTCCGTGTCTCTATATCTTAAATCATAAAATATCCAGAGTTAATTGTCAAAAAAGAGAGATGTTAAAGTATTCTTAAACTACAAAACGCTAATAGTCACAAGTCGGATGTATCTGATCGAGAAGGTACCAAGCAACTTATACAAACCTACAATTACTGCAGCTGGTGTCTGATAAATCTTGGGATTATGTTGGAAAATAATGTTACAACCGCACTAAGGTAGTCCTTCCTAAACGAAAGCGCATTTCAGAATTTCGGATAACACTTTATGAAACCGGTCACTGAATATATCATGTTCAGGAACCTTTGCCACTATTATACCCGAGACAAGGCTGCCAGCAATAACTGGAGAATAAAAATCTGTAGCATAAAAATAGCGGTGCAGAATCGCGTTCAGCTCGGCAAAATTAACGTGCCGCAGAAACTGTCAGTGAGCTGCATGACTAAGCCAGTGATAATACCCAATCACCACAATCCTAGGACCAGATTGCCAAGAGGATGTACAACATTATCGAACACCTTGAGTGCGGGAGTAACGAGATCCTCAGAACATCGTCAGTGTCACCTGTGGTAAACAGACAGATGAACTGGCTGGTTGCCGTGCTTGGCTGCGCTAATGAACACAAAATTCGCTGAAGTTATGACTGCATGACTCAGGCATGCTCTGGCGCAGAAGGCTGTCGCAGGTGCATGGTTTGCAAAACAACAGCTGCGGATTAACAGGCAATAAAGTGGATTAGACGTTTAACATAAACACTTCAAGTTTATTCAGATCTTCAAAAGTCGAAGTAACGAGGGGAGCTGAGATGCATGCGTAAGACCAAGAGGAAGACGTATGGAAGGGTGAGAAGAATAAAGTAGATGAGGAGGAGAAGGAAGCGGAGGAAATAAGTAAACGAGGATTCGGAAGAAAAGAATGGGGGAGGGGTAGATTAGGAAAAGAAGGTGAAGGTTGATGGGGACTGTGAGCCAGAGGAGTTTTAGAGAGAATGAGGTGGAGCAGAAAGCGAAAGAAGAAAAGGAGGAGGAANCGGTAAATGGAGGGGAAGGAGGAGAAGGAGGAGGTTGGGAAGAAGAGGACAAAGAAGAGGAAGAAGAAGAATGACGAGCACGAGCAGAATGAGAAGGCAAAAGAAATGCAAAACGAGATTAGTAGGGGCGGGAAAAGGATGACGATAATGAGGAAGAAGGGTTAAGCGATAAAGTACAGTGTGATAACGTTTATAAGCCATAGCATTTGAAGAAGGAGGACAATGAGGAAGAATGGATAGGCTAAAGGAAGTGAACTTGCAGGAAAGACGGGAGAAGGAGGAAATTCGTAACACCATTGTCGCATCCTGCAGGCGAAACTAGCACTAAGTTAGACAATTAGGTTTCATAGGTTCTCTACAGAAAGAAGTCCACACCTGGGAGCAAATTTACTGGTTGGTATTCAGGTCCACAGCAGGTGACGGTGTAATGTGCACTATGATGCACATGCAATGAATCAGCATGCATTTAAGACAGGTCGGGTGGCCTCTTTGAGCACTAATGTCTTTGCCGGGTAGAGCCCCCATTACCACCATTACCCATGGGGTGTAGGAGTGTCCAGCGGTGGGTTCACGTGATGGTCGTAGTGGTCGCTCACTTGCTTGCAGGTGAGACTACGCCTAGCGTCCATTTGCTTGCACCCAACTCTCACCTGTGGTTCCATGAAGCTGGGCTCTGCTCAGCGGCCACACCCCGGGCAACCGTCTCGACCGGCGGGCTAAACCAGGTGAGGGCGCTATGCGCTTGTGCCGCGTGCACAGTGTATTGCGGACTCCGCTGGATGGATGGTCGGATGAAAAACTGCGCCGGCATCGTCGAGACGAGGCTCTGCCTGGTACGCCGTTGGACAACTGCTGTCGGGACGGGTCTCCGCATCGCCTTCGCTGAGACGCGCCCACCCTCGTCGACGGGGACCGCGGACTCACGGCATACGCGGTCGTTCTCCACTACAAACATAAAAGTCGTGGCCCCATAGTGGGATTCGGTCGCGTCAACCAGGCACATGGGCATCCCGATTCAGGGGCGGCACTGCCGGCCCCCACGAGGGGAAGGGCCTAGAAAAGGTGGCCTAAAAAAATGCTAGCCAGGGCCGCAGACGTCTAATCATGGTCGAAACACTCAAAATCGAAACAACAACAATACCAATAACAACAACAACCATACTCATTCTCCTCATCCTACCCCTTCTACCTCTTCCTCTGCCTATTCTTCTCCTTCGTCATCTTCTTCTCCACCTCCTTCCCGTCGCCCACTCGTTGTCCCCAGACTGGCAGGGTGAGCCCGCTCACTCTGGCAGCCTGGAATGTTCGTTCCCTTTTAGACTATGCGAGGAGCAACCGACCGGAACGGAGGACGGCTCTAGTGGAGCGAGAACTCGCCCGCTACAAGGTGGACATCGCCGCACTCAGCGAGACCCGATTCTCCGAACAAGGCCAACTGGAGGAGGTGGGTGCCGGCTACAACTTCTTCTGGAGTGGTCGGCCCAGGCCAGAGCGACGAGGCGCGGGCGTCGCCTTCGCCATCCGGAGCGACATCGTGGGACGACTGCCCAGTCTGCCGCAGGGCATCAACGATCGCCTGATGAGCCTCCGTCTGCCTCTCCGAGGTGGGGGCAAATTCGCCACCATCATCAGCGCCTACGCTCCGACGATGACCAACCCCGACGCCGTCAGAGACAAATTCTACGAGGACCTGCACGCCCTCTTGGCGACTGTGCCGAAGGCGGACAAGTTGATTGTCCTTGGCGACTTCAACGCCCGCGTCGGCACAGATCATACTGCCTGGAGAGGAGTGCTGGGTCTCCACGGTCTCCGCGGCTCCAACGACAATGGTCTACTGCTGCTCCGCACCTACGCAGAACACCGCCTCATCCTGACGAACACCTTCTTCTGTCTGCCGGAGCGAGAGAAGGCCACCTGGAGGCATCCCCGGTCGTGCCAGTGGTATCTGCTGGACTATGTCCTCATCCGGAGGCGAGATCACGAAGGCGGTCACGGGTGCTGACGGGTGGACCGACCATCGACTCGTCATCTCGAAGATGCGAATTCGCCTACAGCCTCGCAGGAGACCACAAGGTAAGCGACCCCCAGGTAAGCTGAATGTTGCCTTGTTGTCTTTGCCCGCTCACCATCTTTATTTCAGCAGTGAGCTAGCTCAAAGGCTAGACAACCTTCCTATCACTGCCGACGCCGCCGCTGCCGAGAACGCCTCCGTGGAGAACCGCTGGTGTCAACTGCGAGACACGGTCCAGTCGACGGCACTCGCCGTCCTCGGTTGCGCTCCCCGCCAACATCAGGACTGGTTCGACGACAACGACGCCGCCATCAGAAATCTGCTAGCTGAGAAGAAACGCCTACACAAAGCCTACGTAGATCACCCCACTGATGTCACCAAAGCTGCCTTCTACCGCAGTCGCCGCCAACTTCAGCAACGACTGCGCGAGATGCAGGACGCCTGGACTGCTCGCAAAGCTGAGGAGATCCAAGGCTACGCGGACCGCAACGAATGGAAGAACTTCTTCTCTGCGATCAAAGCTGTCTACGGTCCGCCGACGAGGGGCACTGCTCCTCTCCTCAGCGCCGATGGTAGCACTCTCCTGACTGAGAAGACACAAATCCTGCAACGATGGGCCGAGCATTTTCGAGGCGTCCTCAACCGCCCTTCCGCCATCTCTGACGCCGCCATCGAGCGTTTGCCGCAAGTGGAGATCGACGTGGACCTCGACCTCCCGCCATCTCTCCAGGAAACCATCAGGGCTGTGCAGCAGCCCTCCAGCGGGAAAGCACCCGGATCGGACGCAATCCCTGCTGAGGTCTACAAGCATGGAGGTCCCCAACTGATGGATCACCTGACTGCGCTCTTCCAGGAGATGTGGCGTCAAGGCGAAGTCCCGCAAGATTTCAAAGACGCAACCATCGTGCATCTCTACAAGCGCAAAGGGAATCGCCAAGTCTGTGAAAATCACCGCAGCATCTCCTTGCTGAACATCGCCGAGATGATCTTCGCACGAATCCTCCTCAACCGTCGCAATAACCATCTGGAACAGGGCCTTCTGCCTGAAAGCCAATGCAGTTTCCGTCGTCATCGTGGGACCACGGATATGATCTTCGCCGCCCGTCAACTTCAGGAGAAGTGCCAGGAGATGCGGACCCACCTGTACTCTACCTTCGTGAACCTGACGAAAGCATTTGACACGGTGAATCGTGAAGGACTGTGGAAGATCATGCAGAAATTCGGCTGTCCGGAGCGATTCACTCAGATGGTGCGTCAGCTGCACGACGATATGATGGCGCGAGTCATGGACAACGGAGCTGTCTCAGAGGCATTCGCAGTGACCAATGGAGTGAAGCAAGGCTGCGTACAGGATCTCGAAAGCCAGTCAAGCCTTCGGTCGCCTCCAAAGCACAGTTTGGAATCGCCACGGTCTTCAGCTGAGCACGAAGCTGAAGATGTACAAGGCCGTCATCCTGCCGACACTACTGTATGGAGCGGAGACTTGGACGGTTTACGCAAAGCAGGCACGCCGTCTGAACCACTTCCACCTCAGCTGTCTTAATCGCATCCTGAGGCTGAACTGGCAGGATCGAATCCCCGACACTGTTGTGCTGGAACAGACGGGAATCCTCAGCATCTACGCCATACTGAGGCAAATGCAGCTGCGCTGGAGCGGCCACCTGGTGCGCATGGACGACGAGCGGCTACCCAAACGACTCTTCTACGGAGACGTCGCGACGGGTTCTCGCCGTCAAGGAGGCCAGATTCGCCGTTACAAGGATACCCTGAAGTCCCCCCTGAAACGCCTGCAAATCAACCCCACCAACTGGGAGGAGCTCGCACTCGATCGACCGACCTGGAGGAGGACAGTGAAGACAGGCGCTGCGATCTAAGAAGCCAACCGCATCGCTGCCGCCAAAGCGAAACGTGAAGCCTGCAAATCCCAACTTCGCCCAGTACGCAACGCCGCCTCACAACCGCTTCCAACGTGTCCTCGATGTCAACGGACATTCCGGGCTCGAATCGGACTGGTTGGACATCTTCGGATTAACTGCGCCTCTCAAACTGCACCAACCATCGTCCCCCCGCCTGCCTCTTCCTCCTCCTCTCCGCCTCCAAATAACTCTGACAATTATTCTGACCCACCAATTCCATCCTCCTCCTCCTCCTCCTCCTCCACTGCCCCCACGGCGGCCGCTCAGGCGGCCGTCTCGCACATCACCAACCGCGACACAACAACAGACACCACCCCCACCTCTCCCGACTCCAGCGATGAGGATCAGGACAACACCTGCCCTCACTGCGACCGCACCTTCACCTCACACATCGGCCTGGTCGGTCACTTGTGAATCCATCGCACAGAGACTGGCGAACCAGTGCCTGGAGCACCAACCTACACCCACCACGCCCGTCTCAACTGCCCACACTGCCCTCGCACCTTCAGGCATCGCATGGGCCTATTCGGACACATGCGCATCCACGATGACCTGTGGTAGACAACCGCCGGTTACAACCTACATCCACACACTCCCTACCTTCCTCCACCATCCCCACCACACATCAACACGCACCCAACTGCCACCTCCCACGCAAGTGGGAAGTCCGCATCTCGACTCGGTCCCCATGCGGCTTCGGCTGCACGGGTGACTTGAGTCCGAGACTATCCCGACACTTCAAGCGTCGTGGATAGGGAGGTTGCTGATTGACGCCCGCTCTCGGCTCACGCAGTTCGTCGCGTTGTGTGTGTGTGTTGTGTGGAGTGGCGGACTGGTGGGCTGGGGACGGGTCGAAGCTGCACCTTCCACGGCCTTCTCACGCAAGTGAGAGACACGCCGTTAAACCCCCGTTGTGTGAAATCCTGGTGTTGTATGCATGGGTGGCCAGGTCGTGCCGTGGCGCGCGCAGTCATGGTCAGTCGACCATGATAGCCACCGCGCCCAATCCCCACTCCAGTCTGCTGACCGGCTTGGACAGCGGCTGGGGTGTGGGAGTGGGAAGGGAGAGTGAGGTCGACGACTCAGCGCACTTTCTCCTCACTATAAACAATCTGACGCGCTTGAAGCTATCACGGTGCTCTAAAAGCCGTGGCTTGGAAGGTTGCCAACTGACGGGGTAACTTGGACCTCCTCCTTGACTGGAGGCGGTCTGAGAGTTAGGCTGCAATGGCTCCTTTTTAATGTGGCCTTTATGGCACTCCCATCATAGTGTGGGATCCGAGCCAGGCGTTGGCAGTACGTTTAGGTGCGGCTTCGGTCTTGCCAGCCTCCAAATCTCTGTTGTTGGTTGAAATTCTGGTTATTGTTGTGTGGACCAGGGGGTGTGGTGGAACGCCAAGGTGAGGATCCGTCCGAGCCATCCACCTGCGGCCTCCCTCGTCTCCGGTCTTCTGGACTCTGTCTTGACACCGGACTAGGGCGAGGGAGGAGGAGCGAGTGTAGGTAGATGCTACGCAAATCTACTGACACTATAAACCCCTGCGTAAGTCACCGTCCCTGCTCCCACTGCTGCTGCAACTGTGGGGCACACGGTGGACATCATCGAAACCGATTGTCGTACTGTCACCATTACCCATGTCCGATTCCTCCGTGCAGGGACGTCTGTTCTTGCGTTTTTCGTCACCATTCCTCGTGTTCGATCATGCTACGGAAATTGCATTCGATATGACATGCTATCTATTCAAATACAAATTTGTAAGGCGAATGAGCTTCGTCGGCATTTTAAGCATGTTCGTGCCCGCGGGTGTGTACTTACGAATGCCGGGGATAATAATGCCCCCTACGGCACGTTGTTCGCATACGTCTAATTTTACACTGGTCACAGATCTCCAAAGTTCCCCTGTCAACTCGCCATCAAAACCGGAGACAGGGTCACACTTTTCATGAAAAACCACCCAGACGTACAGGTTGCTGGTAGTATTAGAATTCAGGCGATCACCGCCATCATCATCATCATCATCATCATCATCATCATCATCATCATCATCATCATCATCATCGTCGTCGTCATCATCATCATCATCATCAGCAGCAGCAGAGACGGAATCAAATGGGAACGGTGTTTTGCTCAAACGCCGCAGCATTTATAGGATTCAGCTCCTGTGCCACCATTCACCTACCAAAATTGACAACTGCCACATCCATTCTGCACGGCTCTTGTATTAGGGCAGCTGCATGCGCGGTAATGTGCGTTCCTGCTATAATGTACTACTAACTGCGTATAAGTAACCAGACTTTTTCCGAATTATTTGTGTTTTATCTGCATCCTCCGCGATTTCCTTGGCTTTTTGTTAATGCCTCGCCCACGGATAGACGGACCACTTACTGATGACATTCGCAAGATTGCCACTAAAGCCACCTCGAATTTAGGTCCCTCCTGCAGTTTTCGACCCCGTCTTGTTAACTCTGTCGTGCTCTGTCAACCTTACTGTTTATTACTATAAAAACCACGAACTCATGATCTTTTTTGACGGGACGTGGTTATACGCGTCCATTCTACCGAACCTTGCGTACGAAACTTGAAGAGCCAAATGACGGAACTCAGGGCCCCTTTAAATGTGGACATTTCATGGGGCTGTTTGGATCTTGCAAAAGGACTAACCTTACCTTTGCTGGAGAAAGCTATGAACAGAAAAACGGAGCTACAATGAACTCCCCAATCCCTGATATAACGACGGATCTAGTCTCACAAGAGCTAGGAAAGGCTGCTTTTATCCAGTAAGGGCACATTTTAGGGAGCAATAAGGTTGAGGAAACATTCGTCATCGTCAAGAAGAGAAAATTGCAGGATTTGCATAATCTGCACAAATCAAACTTCCCAGATTTACAATTCCCCAGGGAGACAGGAAAAGGCAAGTCAGCATCAACAGTCAGACTCTCATCGCTGAGTGCGCCAAATCATGCCATTGGAATGCGCGGATAAGAGTTGTGAGGGCTCATGAAGTACTACCTGTTCGCCGACTCGTTGCCAACTCAACTGCATTTGCCATGTTCTACATGGAAACGGCCATGCTTCAGAAACGAGAAGCGTAGAGGACCAGTTGTTTCGGCAATGCCATGACCGCCTGCCGCGACGTTGCGAGAAACTGTGGTTCTTAACGGAATTTCATTTCGGTCGTTCGCCTCTTAAGCCAATTATTACCAGATTAGGTGAGCTTAACCTTTTGCATTTGACATACGTCGCACGGATTACCCTACAATTATCTAGGCTCTACAAATGCCGATTTGCGGCGCGTTTTGCAGAAAGCCTACCTGTATGACCGTCCTGACTAGAGTACAGAATAGAGTTGCGTGGTTAAAATAACCACCCAGAAGTGGTTTCTTTTTCCGAAGGACCGCTTCCATTCGCTCCTGCTTGAGATTCGCTTGAGCTTATGCGCTCCGAGAATGCTTAACCAACCATCCTGCAGAAATGCAACCGGTTCATGAAGCCTCCGAGGCGACGCAACTTAGGCATTAAGACGTCTATCAACGATCCGTTTACAGTAGCAGCTTACTTGCTATTGGTCGTAGGCTAGTTCGTTATCGTGGCTGTCTCCATCGATGTTATCATTCTTTGATGGGTCGGTGCCTAGGCTTGCCCAGCAGCGGTTTAGAACAAGCCGAGGACGACGTCCATAAATTAGACGTTTTCGATGAAGCGTTGAGTGCAAAAAGACCAAGTTGTTTGTTCGTGGAGTCGATAGCTTCGATCGAAACGACAAAGGCCTGATATGCAGACATAACAGTCCCAACTTTGTTTCGATGATGACCGCCGTGTGCTCCACAGTGGACTGAGATCAGGCACAGTGACATGTGCGTTAGTTTTTAGTGATAGTGGACTTGCGTAGCATCCACCGGCACTCTCTCATCCCCATCTGGACCAGGTGTCAAGACAGAGTCAAGAATACCGGAGGTGGGGGAGGGCACAGGTGGATGACACGGTCGAGTCGGCATCTTGGAGTTCCATTCCACGCCCCCTGGTCCACACAGCAAATAATCAGGTTTTTGACTAACAACAACAAGGGAGGCTGGCAGGGATCCCAGTTTGTGCGAAGTACGCCGGCAACCGGGTCTGCCACTGCACCCCGAAATGTTGGCATTTGTTATGGTGTGCAATCCGATTACGCCTGCCAGAATCCGATATGACCCTCATGTCGGCCCAGCGCATCTACCACGTAGCCCGTTAGGGACACTTTTACAGACATAAATAAGTGTATGGGGACCGGTGAATGTTTGGAAGTGAATGGATGCCTACTGATTTCACTGTGTGCAGATGACGCGGGTAGCGAAAACAAAAGTCAAACTCGGGTGTTGGCGTGCACTGCGAACGACAAGCTGTACAGTGAACGTGTCATTCGCATGCATGGACAGGGGGCGAATGTTGTTTTCGAGATAGGTGTAAACACGGCACTTCCATGCGAATTCCAAATCACGCCCGATTTAAAGCTGAAGACCGGACTGTCAACAAGTTGGGCGACCTGCCAACGGCTAATGCAAACGAATACTTGGCCGATAAAAATGAGATCTTGCATACAAAAATCCAGATTCAAGCAACTATTTTACAGTTCTTACTGACAACAATGTTCATTGTAAGGCAACTACGACGCAAAATCCACGTGAACCGCGTTTGGGCCCAAAATACAATTTCAAGGACGTGCATTTGATTCGAAGTCGAGGATGGCAAGACGTCCTTTATGCTGCCGTTCGCATGTGGTAGTTCGATTCATACCACTAATAACTAGGTAATGCCGTTTTAAATTGGCTTGAAGATCATTTCAAAATCCTGATGGATTTCCGGAAAAGCGCACAGAAAGCCCTGGACGTAAAACGATTCACACCTCTTGAAAGTCCTATCAAATTATCCGCAAAGACACTGGTAAGATCTATGTATATCCTGAGTGACTTTGCTTGCGATGCGGATGGCGATTTTAGTGCTTGCAGTTACGTCAAGGTAAAGAAGGGGCGTCAGCAGATCGACCACTTTCCCAACTTTGACGATTAACCCACCACGTCCTCGTTCTCCTCTGCAGCGGAGAATTATCTCTCTCCAACCTACACAGTATCACGCGACACCTTTCCAAAAGAGAAGTGGTGGATGCAACGCAAGGGCTGCACAAAAACGTACCCCGAGAGGACGGTATTTCTACTGAAATCTACAAGTCTTGTGTCGACAGCGTGGAACTCTGGCTCCATGATATGACTGAACAAACCCAGAGGGATGAGGTCATTCATGATGACTGAACTCGGACATCACTGTACCTGTGTTCAAGGAAGGAGATCAGATAGGATGAGAGACCTTCCGTTGCATAAGCGTGGTAGAAACTTCTACGAAGGCCCTGGCTGTTGTTTTTCCCAGGCGATTCCAGATTGTGCCTGACTCAACGACGAGGGACAACCAGGCCGGATGCTGAGAGGGGCGTGGGTGTTTGTATCAGATACCTATACTGAGGTGTAATTTTGAATTCCGCACTAGTTACCAACAATCAATGGCCGTCTGCCTTGTTGACTTTTCTGCTGTGTTCGATTCCCTCCAACGTGAGTCACTGTGGGGAATGATGGAACTCGGCGTTGTACCGCCAAATAATCCTGATTACTGCCTATTATCGCCCCATCACTGCGTAAGTTCTGGTCCATAATGATCTCTCCCATCTATTCGGAATTCGATCGAGCGTTCGACAGCGTTTTATCTCGTCACCCTTTACGTTCAACTACGCTACTGACTGGATTCTTGGGAAGGCCGTACACGAAGTTGATGGTGTTGAATTTGCACCCAAACGCTGGTTAACTGGTCTCTACTGCGCTGGTGATATCGCCTCGTTATTCTCAAGTTGTGGCGATCTACAGTATATGGTGCCACGGGTTAATAAGATCTTTAAATCGGTTGGTTTACTCCTAAACGCTGGGGTGACCAAACTGTTTTCAACTTGCGCTCCTGGCCATAAGAAGGCATTTCTTTAGATTGATTACCGTCACCTTGGAGAAGATGACAGTTTCAAGTACCCCGGGACGAGGCTATTGCCGTACAGACAGGGTAAAGACGACATTTTTCCCGAAGCAATGGTGCTCGCCAGGCCTTTCCAAGTCTTAGAAAGCGCCTATGAACCCTACGCGGTATTTCCATCACCATGACGAATCTCGTATACCGTACATCCGTCCAGCCAGTCCTCCTCTGCAGTTTTGGATACTGGGTTGTACGCGTGGAAGATAAGTACAAACGAGGGGTATTTAACCACCACTGCTTGATCAACATTGTTTGACTGAAACACCCCGACTCTGATCCAAACGCGACAGCGCGGACTCATTGCGATAGCATCGTAAGGTTAACGCAGGCCATCTAAGAAAGGCGGCCAATGTAGTTTGGGCACATTTTTGATCGTCCAACTCACAGGTTCAGTGCTTCAGGCGTCGAATAGGGGGCCAACTCAGAACCTGGCCCGACGCATTCCGTTGAGACGTGGAACTGCTTTTTCTGCCTCCGATGTTCCGTCGCCGTCACTGACGAACAGAATGGACTTAGAACACCATGTTTGTATTTCGCAGCACAGTTCGAATTTCAGCCAATAAGTTGGAGATCGGGTGATTATTCGTAAAGCACTGTGTGTCAAACCGCCTGAACCCAGCTTTACATGCCAGCATTGCCCAATCGCCAGTAGACGTAAGGTTGGCAACAGACAGAAAACGAGTCAGGATTGGGGATTCCAGATTCGCATTTGGGAAACCGCAGAGTACTTGAAGGTAAGTGAATGCATTCTAAAGTCACTGTAGATTCAAGTGAGAAAAAGACGCGATCTCGAAGATGAGAAGTATACTTGCATAACGTTTTGCACTAGTATTTCAGCCCATCATCCGATGCTAGTCTATGCTGTCCGTTCGTACTGACTTAAATTCTTTAAATCTTGATTTTATGGGTACCACCAATCACTTTCAAAGATATTCATCTAAGCTTTATAAAAGTGGAAATGAGTTCTGGAGGGGTGCGTTTCTGCCCTCCGAAACCGCAGTAAATCAAACGCTCTTTGAGTGCCGACGGTTTGAAATATTTGACCTTCATGTTAAAGTGGCAAAAAGCACGTTGCATGAAACGTCTACCATCAACTACACT